TAACAGGATGTGAGACCACAAAAAAGCAAGACACATTAACTATTTCTAACGCTTCTAGAATAATACCCTTCTTATCAGCATGTTTCCTTGTGTTTTCTGTACTACTCTTGCCGTACATCACAGGAACAAAATCCCTGCCAGGTTTCTTTAGAGCTCTTCTCCTTTGACAATGTTTTCCCCCATTCTCTCCACTTTCACACAAACACACCTCACCATTGCCCAGCCAAGAATGGAGACAGGGGTAGGAGGGCGAACCCCGCAGACTGTCTGCCTCCACAGACTCTTATTTTGGATTTCGTTGACCTTTGGTAGGGCAACTCTGTTTCTGATTGCTCTCCTGGTTGTATTCTCCAGGGGATATGGCTTTTATATTATGAATTTTGAAAGATTCTAGGGAAGAATTTCTGTCACTCAAAAGCCCTGTATCTGTTTGAAGTGCTTGGATTTATCAGTGACAATTACAAAACAGAAGCAGTCTATTTGTGAGGAAAGATTTCTGTTTGTTGTTTGTAAGCTATTTTCACTTTGGCTGTAGCTGTCAAGGGGGATTTCACAGCCATCCACATTACGTCTCACCCCCGTAGCTGATATCAGAACCACCTTTGCTGCTTGAGTAGAAAAAAGACTCAAGGAGACACATTGCCTTGTAAAGGAAAAGAACAAAAAATATATTTGTAGAACCAACCTAGAGCTCCACATCAAATAACATCTGTGTTTAAAAAGAAACACGGGGTCATGATGTTAATGAATTATTGTTATTTCCTAGAGGCACAGATGAAGTGTTTGGCTTTGTGCAAATCAGAAGTCTCAAACCAGCCCTGTCCCATTAGCAAAGCACATCAAACACCACAAGCTGATTTCTGGTTCAGCTGAAGGCTGAGGATTTACACCACTAACAACAGCCACGCATCTGGTCGCGTACAGTCAGGAAATGAACAACTCTGCATGAACCGAAGAGAGCGAGGGTGCAATAAAAACATATCCTGCAAAGGGATCTGTGAGGGGAAATGGGAGGAGAGCTCAGCTTGCAAGAGAAGAACAAAGCCTGTCTCTCTCCAGACTCCACTCTTCAGCAAAATACCACACAGGAAAGGCCCTGAAATCCAAAACATCACCGAGAAGATATTCCAGTCTGTGTGAAGGTCAACACCCAGGGTGCTGAGAGGGCACCAAGAGGTGCACCATGACAAAGAGGCCTGGCCTCCCTGCAGAGAAGATGCTGATGAAGGCACTGGGCTTGTCCCATCATCCAAACACTTACAGTAAGTAAGTAGTCAAGGAAGTATCCACTTCTGAAGTAAGAAACATCATGTTTTATTCAACTTTGCTATGTTCAGATTGCACATTTGTTTCTGTAACCACAGACAGCTTTTGGAAGCAGAGTTAAGCAGCAAGCAAGTCCAGAAGGTCTGGGAGAGGATACAAAAGTGTCTCTTAATGTTCCTGATATCCCCAAAGGAAAACAGTGAAATGAAAGCTGTGAGATTTCTTTAACACGTTATAATGGGGTGAGAAGGAGCTTCCATACTGTTGTGGGGGTTGGTGGGTTTTTTTGTCCTTCAGGACTTCCCTCTTGCCCACATGAGGCAGAAAAAAAGCTTCACCAACATGACTGGAAAGTGTGTTTCCAGAAGGAAAAGCAGGACAAGTAGTAAATGCAACTACTCTTGCTTAAAGAGCATTGCATGGTGACATTTTGGTGACTTTGGCTGTTTTGGTGACATAGTGTATCTCGTGATGCCATGAAAGTGAACTTCCTGTTTGCAGAGAGATGTACACACTATAAGACATGTGCCCTACTGATATCTCGACCACCTGTTGCCTTGCTTTATCTGATCAACATTTCATTGATTCTTCATGCAATCAGCATATCCATTCCCATACTTAATTAAAATCCAAAGTCTTCAACTGTGTGGATATCTGCACACACCTGGCATACATGGTATACATGGACATGTTTTATTCATATGTTTTGAGAACTAGAACTAGAATTATTTTAAAGTAATTAGACATGAAGGAGAAGCACTAAATCAGATCGTAAAAAACATAAAATGGATTATTTCTTCTCTCATTGCACCAGTAAATGGCAAAAAGCTTTGGTGTTTTTGGCAATGCTCCATTTCCTTTACTTCACAGCTGTGTGAAATGAGAGAGGTATTTTGTAATAATGCAGGTATACTATATCTAAAAACAAATACAGCATTCTCTCTCCTATACCTAGGAGAAAATGAACAAGGCTAAACTCACATCTTCAGAGCAATGCCAACAGATCATTGAACACATGCAGACAGAAGAGGTGCTTGGGTCACTCGGGCTAATGGTGCTATTTGTGGAGATGATTCAAAGTGCTCCAAGTCAATAACCACCTAATTGGCCTCGGTGGACTTCAGATCTTGGCTTCCCGTGACAAAGGTAAGAATCTGCTTAAACTTATCTGAGAGTTTCAAGTTTGTCCCTAAGTTATAATAAAGCACGTGGTATAGTCTGTACTTTCTTGTAATTATAGTGATTTCTTGCTGTTGACAGATGAGGTGGTATATTGCTCTTCAGACATGGATGACATGCATACTTCTATTTGAGAAATCAGAAGTCAGAACAGAATTAGGTGCTTGAAGACTCCTGACAGAAAAAGACAAAAGAAGATAAGAAACATTGCACACTGCAGCAAAAACAGACCGTGAATATTGAAAGCAGGAAATCCTTGAAATAACTTTCAAAAGGCTCAGCCTTACAACTGAATCAAAGGCTCACTCTATTTTCATTTTCTTTAGGACCCTGGATGAATCTTTTAAATACAAGCTCAATTTTCATGTTGGGATTTAGCCTCTGCATGTGAGCACATCTGCTGGGTGATCCAACCCACTGATGCTACCTGCCCTCCTAAGGGAAGTTCATCTCCCCGGCTGAAGGATCAGGAGGAGTACTGCAAACCTGGACAGGGTTTCTAATCTTGAAGCAGAAGATAGGGAGAGTACATTCAAGTTGTGAAATGTGGCATCAGGGAGAAGAGCAGTGCTGGGCCAGAAACCTTTCTTTTTCCCACCTCCCAGCATAGTGCTGCAGCAGGGAGAGGGCAGTGGTCCCTCTGATACCCCTTATTCTCCATGCAAAGAGCAGCAGACGGCCTTGCACCAACATGGATATGGAGCAGCCACATGGTGAAAGCACTAGAAAAGCAGCTTAAAATCTGCTTCAACTGTTTCCCAGCAGGTGTTTACTTCCTCCCAGCTGACAAGTGTGACTTGCTGTACAAACACACACACCCGTTTGCGGACAAAGTCAAACATGCAAACCTTCGGCAGCAATTTAAGTTTGTGTGACTTTGCTCTTAGACACTTTAAGAGCAATTATATGGCAGGTAACTGCCTCTCAGCTGGGAGGTGGCAACAAAGGGCTGGGAGTTCAAAGACCTGTCAGTGTCATGTAATCAGTTATGATAATAAACAGGGTGTAAATTACAACAGACTGTGAAACAGAATTGCTATTAGATTTAACAACAGATGGGTAATTGTTCCCAAATCTCGACAATACTGAAATGTGTACCTCAATGATTTCAACCCCATGTGAAGTGACTGGGCTTGGGCTTGGAGCCTCCAGTGTGGATTTTGATATTAGCGCAGAAACCAGGGACATCTCTGAGCATAGGCACCAGAGGGTAGGAACACTGCCCCTCTGCCTTTCTGGTCCTGTCCTGTGGGGGACACACAGCTCCTTTTGCCTCATGAGTGTTGAGTCCCACCTACAGCATCACGGGGAAGACAGTTTGAGCTAGGTGTAAAAAAGGAATCACTGAACTTAAAAGCAGGAAAGAAATAGAAAAAGAGAGGAAGACAGTATTGTCCAGAAGGAGTAATAACAGCATGCGCCAGAGGGAACAAGTTCCCTGCTTGGCAACATCCCTTCCTGTGATCCAGGATGAAAAAAGGACTGCACTGTGCTGAGATGGATGGTTGGCTTTATAGGGTGAGGAGCTGTACCTGGATGAGACATAAAACCAAGGCCCTGATTATGGCGTCCACTCATCAAAGCTCTTATCATTTTTACTTTCAAAGGACAGAACGCGACAACTTGTTTCCTGTTTCAAACCAGGTCATTAACTAATTTTTCTGTTTCAGTGTAAATACTGTTTTCCTTTGTGGTGGCATTATGTGCTGTTGGGTGCCATGACAGTCCTGCACTGTTGTCTTCCCTGACAGAAGTCACAGTAAGGGAAAATAATTTTAGCCAAAACATTTTTGTCAGTGATATCCTGGTTGAAAATCCCTCTACACCTATGTCTCAGCTGCAAATCTGCCTCAAGACTTCCTGTAATCTTTCTGGTGAAGCTCCACTACACACAAATCAAATAAAGAGAAGCTTTCATTGGTGTGAAAAATAACAGAGAGTATTTCCCAGGCAATATGTCCTGATTAAATGCATTTTCCTCCCAAATTTCCAGCACAATTTAGAATTTCATGTGCTGTTCTGTTGCTAAAATAATTCTTTCTCAAGAACAGTTTGCATTATGCTTTCAAAACTATCACATTTTTGGAGGGAACCTGGAATACCAATACTAGAGATAATTTCATCACAAATCATTCCCCTTTGTTGGAGAAAGCTTGTGTGTTGGCCACCTATAGAGCTACTATCCAGCTCTATGTGTGAATGTACAGGAAAGCACATGTATGCATTGAGTCGAGAACAACCAGTTTCACTTCACAGCAGATGTTAGCAGCCTGGTGCTCCTAGCTGAATACCTGATATGTTATTCCGTGTTTATTAACCACCATTTTATAGGCCAGATTTTTAGCCAGTGCACATCTGGACTGCTCTGCTGAGGTTGCTCCTTTGTATTACACAAGCTGAAGTCTGTAGCATATCTCACGTTACCTAATACTCTCGTATCTGTAAATAAAGTATTCTAGACAGATAGAAGCATTCTTTAATATTTTGACTGGAAAGCAGAGCACTGTCTTCTTTTGAAATGTGTGTGTTAGAATGATGGGGACAGAGGACAGATAGTGAGCAAAGATATACAATGGGGTTTTATTTTCTTGCATCCATGCATAACTGATCCAAAGATTTTAGAGTATAGAATGTAAAGTGCTGCTCAGCACTGACAAAAGCACCAGGTGTTACCTGATGAAAAAAAATTGTTTCAGAGTTGCAGAAACAAGACATTTCAAATCTCTTTAGGCTTTCCCCTGTGAAATCAAACACTTCTCATAGAATACTGAGGTTACCAAATTCACAGAACATCTCATTGAAGCATATGTTTTTGAACCAAAAGGCCACAGTGCTCAATCTGAGGTCACAAATAGCTGTAACACCCAGCACACCCCATACAAGAATGAGCCAGTCACCTTATATGAGTCAGTGGTGAGTGACCTTGCTTGTCACTTTAGATAATTTTCACAAACAGATCAGTCAGGACCTGTGGATCCAATTGCTGGTATCCCTTAGTTGAGCAGAGTTTGCAAACCAGGACTTGATGGGCCAGATTGGCCAACCCCTTATGTCTCCTATGTGCTGATGAAACTCCACCAACGCTGCTGGTTGTACACGGAGGTACTTGGAGGGGCTGCCAGGCTCCCTGCTTCTCATCAGATTCCCACCGAAAAGTATTCAATAGGAATCTTAAGCAACAAGGCTGACTGTGCACCAAGTAAAAGCAAAGGAAGAAAAAATAACGTAGCTGTTAATTGTTTTGATTTTAAAATGCATCTCATTACATGCAAATTTAGTTGTGTTTCTTTTTTTTTCCAGAGTACTCAACTTTTGAATAAATCACACTGCTCCTGCCACTCACAGTGCTGTCAAATTACTTGTCAAAATCAGCGTGGCCAGGTTGGCCCATTTCCAGCCCCTGTATAGGCTACATTACCTGCCGTTTTTGGATGTGTGTTAGTTCACAGAGGCTGATGAGAAAAGGGGTATGAGAGCATTTCTGGGCTTTCCACCAGGCCAGTGATTTGTTAGTGTTCTAGCCATGCCAGTGCATGCTGAAGTGTTTTGTCCCTCCTTTGAAAGAAACCTCGTCATCATCAGAGAACCTATAAATTCCATCAATCTGAAATAATGTTTAATTATCAGCTACAAAATCCCTTTGGTTACAAACCAAACATTACGCTGCTTTGCAGGAGAATGCAAGTGGTGTGAACAGTCACCTCCACAGCTCCTGTTCCCACTTGCTCTCCAGCTTTGGCAAGGGCAGGGATACAAATTCCTTCACGTTCCCATTTGCAGGGTGATAACAACACTAATGACGGCGGTGTTGACAAGGCGGGGTCATTTATCAGTCTCCTGCCTGACCTTACTGGGAGCTCAGCTGCAGATGACGCACCAGGTGTCACAGGGTGCTGTTGCCTGCCCCAGGGGGCTGCCAGCTCCAGACCCCTGCAGCCTCTGTGACGCTCTCCAGAGAAGCAGAGCTCTTTCTGTACGTCAGGCACAACATTGCAGGCTGGTCATGGGTCACACGAGTGTGACGCATTGTGCTAAAAGCCCTGAAGCTGTGCCTCCAGTGTTATCATCGCAGCCTTCTCAAGTTCCACCTGGTCTTCTCTTTCTTAGGGTAGGAAGTCCTCCTTCCATGAGCAGCAGCAGGAAACTAAGCCCCCTCCTGCTGCTGTGTACATGATGCAGTGCCTTGCAGAACAAAGGGATGTGCTCCAAAAACAGCCTGCAGGGATGTAGTATAAATTAAAGCAAAATAACAAAAAAAATGCAGATGGAGCTACTAGTACAATCAGCATTACTTTCTTTTTCTGTTCAAAAAATCCTGCTTTTCATCTGTTTATCATGTTGTCAGATGCAGGAAGGGGGAAGTTTTCCAAGCCAGGTGTCCCTCTTTGGCTGAATCTTTTATTTAATTATTTTGCAGAGTTTCAGCAAAGTGGCTCAGCCATTTCCTGGAATGAGATTGGGGGCAGGGGAAAGAGAGGGAAATGTTGTCAAGGCAACAGTAATCCCATTATTTTCTAACTTCTGAGTGCCTGAGTAGGCAACCTTTATCTTCTTTCTGAGCCGTTTTTGTACATAATAATAACAACGACAATTATTCTCATCAGCTCTAAGAAAAGTGAAGCGGGAATAGCAAAAGGACAGTAAGACATGGTTTTACAAACAAAACAAACTGGTACCTTCGTACTGCTGATTGCTGGATATCCTGCTGCTCTGTTGAAAAAAGGCTTTCAGGGCCCAACTGCTTTGCTTGCAATGTCCCTCTAAATTGACCTCCATCCGGACAAGATCAAGAAGCTCATTTCCTCATCTTGAAGTGCAACTGACAGTCTCCACGCGCTCTGGTATTGAAATCGTTGAGCATATGTTAGTGTGCAGCAATCATTTCCCTCCAGATTTTACGGCTCATTGTCATTTTTCACACAACAAAATGTTTTAATGAGGAGGAAGGCTCTGCTTTATGTTTTGGGGAAGGTCCCTGGGGAGAGAACTGTAATTTCTGGATGATGGCGGAGACTTTTAAATCATATTGCATCAGTTATGATTTGTCAGATAAAATGTGTTTGAAGCACAAACTAAGCCTACAGCACATTCATAAAGCTCACAAAATAAAAGAAAAAAACAGTAAAAGAAAAAAACTACCAGCCTTCCAGCAGTCCTGCTGGCTTTACATACTTTCCTTTTCTTCCTCTAGAGAAAGTGAAAATGGTCCAAAAAATTATTTTTCCAGTTCTATCAGTATTGGGTTGCAGAGTATAGAAGGATCTATGGGAATCGTGGATTGTTTTAGGAAAAAAAAGCACAGTGGAATGTGAAAGTCATTACTTGAACAGATCATTTTGCCTTTTCATTCAGAAAACATTTTGTTTCCAAATTTATTGTGTGATTTTACATTTTTCTATTGCTTTCTTTCAAGCCTTTTCTGATATTTTCAGTGCTGTTGCTCTACATTTTTATATTTTTGTACTATAAAATAAGGAGGCATAATTTCCTAGCAAAATCTTTCCTAAATTCCATTGAGGGCTTTGCCACTGCACTTCTGGCCTGTGTGGCACATCGTTTTATTTTTATTTTTCTGTTTCCTAGCCCTTTAAATGAAGATGAGAGGTGATCTCGCTGATTAAGCATGTTGATATCTATAATAAAAGGCACTGGGGAAAAGCTGCGTTTCATCATTTGTATGCTAAATATAAAATGTATTACATAACATGATACCTATGTGTAAGAAGTCTAAAAGAAGTAAAGGACATGAGAAAAGATCAAACATTATAGGAGATGTTAGCAATATTGATTTTGTTTTTATTCAGGTGGAAAGGTCACCAAATGTAAAAGGATTTTTTTTCATGGAAAAGAAGATTTCCTCTTCTTCTGTTTGGCATCAGCAACCAGGGCCTGTGCCCATCATTTGCCACAGGTATCATCCTGCTGTACTATCTCCTATATCATCAGAGCTCGCCACACTTCTAGAGGAAGCTGAGCTCATGTTTCTTTTTCAGGTATGCTCTTGACAAGCCATGCAGCTTTGTACCTAGCTGGTACATGCGTAGGTACTGAATCCCATCCAGCACTGTACGCCAATTAAGTAAATGCACTTTGAGAACAGATGTGACATTTAAAAAGTCCCTGCAAAACCTCTTTCAGCAGAACATCAAGCAAAACATTAGCAGCGCTCTGAAGAATTTCTGAGAATATCTGAGATTATTTTACTTCTGCAACAACAGCAACAAAAATAAACGCAAGGCAGGAAGAGGAAAACGCACTTGTTAAATAACAGCCAAATCAGCCGGTGTGAAAATCTGATGAGAAGTTATTGACTGCAAAGGAGTACGTGTGCATATACCACATCACTGCCACGGAGACGCAGGATGTTGTTAGTACAATGAGGACCTTTGCTCAGCTGTCATTAAACCGCAGGCTGTACTCACTCTTGGTCTGTTTGACTAATTCTCAGATACATTTCACAGAATCAGCTGTTCTGCTGGATAAGTTACGCCAACTGCTCTGCCCCTGACAGGATGAGCTGAGTTGCTTCTTGTTGATACTGAAGAAACAAGGCTGCACGTGGTATCTAATCCTCCCTATGCTCTCAAAAACAAAACACTGTGGTGGTGCATAGAGAACCTGGACAGCACACCAGTAAATGCTTGGATATGCCCTGAATGTCACTCCAGATCCTCCCACTTTGACCTATTGCAGAGTTTAATCCCACCTGCTATTAAATAAGCAGCAGGATTCCCATTGAAAAGAAGCTAAGTTCTCTTGTTGTTGCAGGAGCAGGAGTATGCTCAGAGAAGTACATGTGTTTTTTTTTCTCACTAATCCTGCATTAAACAAACCCCATGTTCCAAATTGCAATAATAATCAACTACATCACCCTCCCATAAGGCAGATGAAGTGGTGTAGGCAAGGGTCAGCACAGTTCATGCAGCTCTAACTTGGGCTGTGCAGAGCTTCCCCATTGCTGGGCTTGGAGAACAAACGTGAACGTTGTTTATCTGTCATTTTAATTACTGCCATAGCACTGGCATGGTGGAGAAACACACTGTGAAGCAGAAGCTGGTAGCTGTATTTCCTGCAGTACTCCTCTCTTCAAAGGATAATGCAGTAAAATACATGATACATTTCCAGCTCTTCCACAAGCATCTCCCAAGTTATGTAGGAAGAAAGACTCTCTGCCAAGAGTTATAAAATTCTTTTTTATGACCACATATAAGTATTCACATATGTACTCTGAAATTACTGAGAAGTCAGACACAAGGAAAAGTGATTTTTTTCAAAATTAGTAGCCAGAATTAGAAATAGACAATAGATGTCCTTACTCAGAGCCTTCCTTTGACCATCAGGACAAAGTTCAAGCACAAAACACTGGTAAATTTAGCAGAATCCCAAACATATTACTGAGCTTTGAGGGGATGTGTTCTTTGCAAACTCTCAGCAGTTCCCTTGTCTGGTAGGCATCTGCAACATACTGAAATACCCTACTGCTGCTCTGTTCTCACCTAAGAAATGTAGCTGACCTTTCCATATCAGTTCTTGTGCAATGTGTGCAGCATGATAGCTTTAACCAGGCAAGACAAATAAAAACCAACATAACGTGGCTGCAGTCACGTTATCTGTCTGGGAGGCTTTCTCTACTGCTTCCTTAGCTTAATAGTGAATGAATGGCACTTTTGCAGATCTAACCTTTGCTTTATGTTACTTCTCCTTTCTCTGAGTCACGAGGATTTCATTCTCTGTTCTTCAGCTCACCTGCAAAAAGTACCATTTCCTTCTTCTGCCACAAAACATGCACACATACAGAAGAAACCCTGCTATCATTTCCCCTTGCTGATGTGAAGAGATCACGCAGCTAAAGGCAGCAGTGTCTGTGCCATGTTTACATTCCTGCTGAGCAGGTACAGACAGGGCATAGACCCAGATGTGCCAACTGTGGCACTGCTGTGCGCACACAAAAAATCATCAAGACATTGAAGTTCTGCCAAAGGGAAACTCAGGGGTCTTTTTGTAGCATCCAGGGCAGGGATTAACGCTTGCAATTGTGCGCAGTTTTTAATTTCCTTGGGGTGACATTTCTGATGCCATAAAGGCATAATTCTGTGGTTCATTTTGTTTCTACTTACCCAGCATATACCTCTCATAAAAAAGAGCAATAGATTATTATCTGACTTGCTCTTTTTTTACAGACAGCATTTTGCCAGGGCTGCCTTGACCATTCTGAGAATGCTTTCAAAACACTACTCAAAAAGGGCTTTTATTCCAGTTGTAAAAGATGAACTCCTCTTTTCATGTTATATCTATGAATGTCCAACATGACTCAAATTTTTCACATGCAATTCCTGAATATGAGTTTCTCCTCTTTTGCATATCTGAACACAACACAATTGTGTTTGGAGAATTAATTCAAGGGTGTTCATAAAGTCTGGCCTCTGAAACATTGCTCACACTGGATGTAATCGAAATTATTATATCCCAAATAAGAACACATTTTTTAAAATAGGAGCAACAATCCCCTTTCTAGGGATACTTTATGATGCTGACTGCTTAAACAGTCCCACCAAGGGGGCTGCACATGCAACAGGTTTCAGAAGAGCTCTGATTCTGTCCCACTCTGATCACAGAGTGAGGGGAAATCTTTCTATAAGGAAATTTTCCTATTAATAAAATAAGATACATCTACAGCGTAATTTGTGGGGCAATATGAAAGGCACTGGCAAAAAGAGTTCCTCAAAATTTAGATTTTGTTAGAAATCATTTGTTGGCTAGGAATCATTTCTCTTTCCCTCCACCACAAATAGCTGAGTCAGCAAACAAGGTGATTCTTTGCATCATGAGGGCAACATATTTGTCCCCATATAAGTTTTCTTTGGCTTTTTTTTTTTTTTTAACAGCTCATGAAAAGCAAAGTAGTTCAAAACCACTACATTTTATGTGTAGGCACAATTATTTGGATAAGACAAGCATTACCATCCTTTCTGCAAGGCCAGTGGTATAGCTGAACAGAATCTTGCTCTGCATCAACACAGTCTGCATCAAGGGTACAAAGGTGGAGAAATGAGCAGGATTTTCTAAGCCAAGGAGATGGCTTCCACATAAAACCCCTGTCCATAATGCCTCATCTCTTCCCTGGCCACATACACCTGATCTCCCTACCCACAGGCACGCACTGTGCTGCAGGAGCTAACAGGAATATGGCTTCTGCAGCTTGAACAGGGGAGAGGCAGGGAGGATCCCATCCAGCCAGAAGAGTGGAAAAGAAAACACACAACAATAGTGAGACAAGATATCTTGGGAAACTGCAAACATCTTACCTAATGAGCTCAAAGGGCCACAACATTACCAGTCTGGCCCACTGCCTGAGATGCTTCTTCCAGTTGCTCTCAGTGTCACACAGCCTCAGGCACCCACCTTCTACCACTCGTCTGCTTTACTGTTGAGAATAATAAACCCCTACAAACTTTATTTTAGTGTTAGTCCTATGAATTGCCACACAGTGCTGACAGCTCAACTCCCTTGGTAAATTTTGCAGCATTTGAATCTCACTGACCCTAGCAAGGAGGGACAGAAACATTATTACTAAATTGTCAGTGGCCCACATTGTAGTCACTGGCTCAAATTTCTAGAATTTATGGGGGAAAAATCAGAGGGACGCAATTTTTAAACTCATAGCAGCTTCCAGTGAAACCAACAGTGGTTGTACTGAGCCTTCTAGGTAACCACAGTGTCTTCATTATGGCTTCTGCTGTTAGACCTTCACATCTAAGTGGGGTTATTATAACAAACTCCACTGAAGCTGAAAGCTTCATACAAAGTGGAGAAGTGATACCTGGGTGAGTTGAAGTAACTTCCTTAGGTCATGCATAAAATCTGTGGCTTGATGCAGGAAATGAGCCATGGTCCAGTATCTGTGCCCATACAGATGGTGGCCATGAGTTGTTCTACAGAATGACAAAACTGAAGAGGAAAAGCCGCTTCCCATCAACAGCAAAACCCAAGCTTAAAACACAAACTAAAGCTTATGCTACAAAATCCTTTCATTTGCCATGTAGGAAGAGCACCTGTGTTTGGGCAGGGTGAAATCCACCCTTGTGAGAGTCACTATCTCCAAGTTGGCGCAGCTCAGTTTGCTGACTGTGAGCAAAGCCTGGCAATAACCGCGGGCAGTGACACAACATCCTTGGCAGTTGCAGCTTTGCTGGAGCCAGTTTCCTGTTTCTGCTCCCTTTGCAAAGCCAGAGAGCATGCTGGGGAGGATGTCTGGCAGCAGTAGGCACGGCCACCCCCTGCCCTTCTGACAGAAGTGAGAGCAGCTCCCCACATTTCTCAATTACAGGTCCATCCTGTCTCTAGCTCTGCT